AAGAAGACAGCGAAAATAATTTAGCTGATATTGACGATAAGGATAGTGCTAAAAGCATGGAGAATACAAAAGTATTACAAAAATTGGAGACCTTAGATATAGCGGAAAAAAATTAATATTCATTAATATACATATAACAAATTCAGAGAGAGTTCGCATACAAACTTAAGCGTCTGATTTATTTGCTGTTTTATATGACATGATCCTTTTGCTTTATTAAGATTAACTTATATTAAAAATGTATTATATCGATAATCATTTAAACTATATGTAACATATAATAAAGTTATTTAATAGACAATAATCGATAATTCGTGTACAGATTTATAATATATTAATAATATGAATCCGTAATAGTCTTTCAATCCTTGAAAAAGTAGCAATAAATTATACTTAATATAAGATCAAATAAACTTTTAAAAATCCTTAAAGTTCAAAAAAAAATTATTCTAATATTTTGAAATTCTGAAGTTCTTAAAATGCAATGCGGATGCAGTGTTATCAAATTCATTTATTAGTGAGGTTATATGATAGCTTGTCAGTTAAAACCTTGAACATACTAAGTTCTACTTTTATATCAAATTATTGTTATATCTGTAAGCAGTATAGATGTCTATGTCTTATACATGTTACCCATAATAAATGATTAGTTTACACGTGTGCAACAGGGAAACAAGACACAGCAGAGACTAAATAAATCAGATATTGCATGGTATATATACTCTTGTTCAAAACATGAAATGAAGTAAAACTTCGTTATCCGCTTCTCTTCAATCAGACATCTGTTAACGAAAACAGGTGAAGTACTTTAAAACAACAAGGGAATCGATGACATCAAGTATAAAATCTATAACACTCAATATATATAAATTTGTGAATATCTTGGGATACTCAGCATTACATGTATAACTTAAAAAACTATACACAGTCGCAGTAAGTATAGCAATAGCTATCTAAAAATATTTAAATCCCGACTTATATTCCTTCAATATAAAATCAAAATCTACAAAATAATCATAAAGTCTATCATAGCATATGTTTGTGATATATAGACCTTTGATAAAACTGTGGAGACAAGTACCAAAAAACACCGCAAAATACTTATATCTGAGAAATTATAAATTGCAATATCAGAACTTATTATGTATAACCCGTATACATGTCGCGATGGTGAAGATAATAAAAATTAAAAAAACAATTTTGAGTTTTTGCTCATTGAATATTAAAAAAAGATATATATCAGATAAAAAGCATATAAGATTTAAGGCGATGTTGTTAACCTAGTTGTCAGAAACTGGATAAATGATGCACAAGATATAGGACAATGAAGTACCTATGTTGTACAAATCAAAGGTACCCTCGAGCTATAGTGTTGAACGATAATGTTAAGCATGAAATAAAAAATTTTTTTTTAATTTTGATTATTAAAATAGAAAAAAGATTATTAAAAAATAGATATAGTCAGTGAAAAGTTAAGACAGCTCGTATCTTATTTTTTGATAACAAAACAATTTGTTTGAATTTGAAAATATAGACAATGGTCATTAGTGACAAACACTATATTATAGCTCTTGACTAACTGTAAGAGTTATAGAAATTAAGCATACCACAGTTATATAGTCCAGCTGAGACGATTAGAAAACAAGCAAATTGTATTAAAAACTTGTATTCAAACTTGTATTGCTTATATAGCTAACATATTAAAATTTTGTAAGCCGCACTTGAACATAATATTGTAAAGGTGTCTTTTGGAATTTAGAACTACTAGCCAGAGTTCGTATTTGTGTACCCATGAGCGACTCTTTTCGGCTCATTCTGCTCACAGCTCATGAGCAAGCAAGAAACTCTTTTCATACGATGGCGATGCTAGTAGTACGAGCAGAAAAAACATATCTAGATAAGTTTAAATAAGTACAGGGGTTCTTAGAGCCACATGTTCTTGAAGCTAACCAAACACGAGATTTATTCATGTTTTTGAATAAAGGCTATAAAGACATATATCCTTATAAAATACCATATAGTATAGGTAACATTTAATGAATAAATCGCGAGTGGTATGTCTTTACAGTATTTATTTACCTGTGTTTCTATTAATAAAATTTGAATACTTGACATTCAATAAATATATGTTTTACAGGAAATATTGAAGCACTTTGTTAGAAATTATATTCTTTTAATATAGAATGTACTGCTACATTATTAGAAAGTCCTGCAGCTATTCCATTTATCTCTTTAATTATAAGAATTTTTATTTATTTCCCATACATAACTTACGTCTAGTACTTATTTCTATACTTATTTTAAGCGTATTACAATAAATGTTTTATTCCTTATGGAATAATTATAAAAACTATATAAGACAAGTATTTACTTGTCGGGTTACTTGTGGTTAATTATTTCCGACATTTTTCTTGATTCAGACCAAAGTTAATCAAAGTTTAAGTGCTTTGCTGTACTATGCACTACGCTAATGGTCTGGGTTTGCAATTTTTTCGTACTTTATAGACCGAGCCACGTTGGTGATGTAGTGGAAATCAATTAAGTAAACACACTAGAATACACTTTGGTCCTTTGTGACATTAAATCGAAAAGGGAAGTGCTTATGTCAAGTGGCGGGACAATTGGAATTGGACATAACTGCAGACTACCATAAGATTGTGTTTGCAGTTGGCAGCACTTAAAATCTGTACAATAGCCAGTGTACAATAGCGGAGATATTGGCTTCAGTGGAAATACATGCGAAATTCATTCAAATTGGTATTATAAGCCGGGTTTTTTTTTGTTGAAAGTTTTTTTAAGACATCAACAAAAACCAAAGAAAAATCAACAAGTATTAGAAAAAATTGTAGAGCAACAAGTGCAAATATAAACTTTTTTCGAACTTTAAAGGAATTCGCTTTATGCCAAAATTTTACGCAAAATGAAAAACAATAGAGAATAGAAGAACTATTCCCGAAGGACTAGGACTATTGAGACAACAGAACACAATCAAAAGTGAAATACTTTGTGAAAAGGATTTGGCTTTGACTGCTACTTGTTGAAAGTCTGAATTGAGGAAATTGCACAGAAACGACTTAGCAAAAAACTACGAAAGATAAAGAATAAAAGTAAAAGTAAGAGGAGAAAAAATATTTACTGAAGGAAGAAAACCAGCAACGGAAGTGTGCGTAGCAAAACTATGAAGTTTTGCTATTTGGCTTCCTTATCCTTCACGGCCGCTTTCAGATAAATCAAACATTATTTAAAGAAGTAACTTCGTTTGAGAGTGCCAAGATGCTTTACGGTGTGTTTGCCACTTAAGTGATTTACTTGAGCGAGGACTTGAGGTGTTGCAACATACCTTTTCACTTAGCACATTTCTCCCTTTGCCACTTTTTGCTAAGCCGCATAATAAAGCAATAAATTAACTCTAGTTTAAGTATGTGTTTGGTTAAATAAATGTTAGAATTACTTTGATTTCATGAGATCTATCTGACCACAATAATAAATAGTGCTATGAATAAATTGTACCAATAATATTCTATATGGGGTTGATTTTACTTCTGCAATTATTTAGGATCAAAATATTAAACGAAAATAGGGAAGAGTTTCGTGAGACCAAGTGGGGGAATAAATAATGTTGCATGCCTAAATGTGTTGTCTGCCACATATAAGTCTATTTAAATTTGACTTTCTACCAAGTGATTTATGAGCTGAAATTCTTGGTAAAGATGTGTATAATATATACAAATATATAAATAAACAATACATAGAATATATATACATACATAGGTATATAACAAATAATATAGTTAAATGATTAAAATTTGAACAAAAAATAAAGTATGTATATTAACTTTCAGTTCTATATCTCCGATATATTCATCACTATGCAAAGAAGAGTAAAACACATGAAGTTCTATAAAAAATATGCATATTTCAAACTAAAGTAATAAGAGATAATGTTTTTCTAGTTTGATGTTGAATATTTCGCGACTTTAATTTTAATTAAAAATGATTAATTGTTTATAAATAATATCGCATTCTCTTGATGAAATCCATAAGTGACTTAAAAGCAATACTTTTTTGCAATTGCATATGTTATGCAAGTGGGTAATGCATGTTATGTAAGTATATGTATTTTAAAGGTATGGAAAACGTCATCATCAAATTAGAGAAAAAGTTCGAAGAAATTTATAGTCCTAAGATTTCCTACAATAATAGATAAGATATTCCTATAAGATTTTTAAGAGAAGTGTTAACATATGAAGAAATGTTGTTTCTGAAATCTATCTGTAAATCATTGCCTTCTGGAACAAATCTTACCTTATAGAAAATTTGTGATTTTGTTAGAGATAGTCGTTTCAAAAGTGTTAAATAAGAAGTTTAACTTCCAAGCCATCATCATTAATATTTTTAAGTTTATTTTTATTTTATAAGTATATGAAATTATATATGAAGCTAAAAAACATATACTTAGAAAAACTTTTTATCTACTTCCTTTTAATTTTAATTTTAATTACTTAAGTTATTTCCATTGTTTTTACTTCAAGTTCGTCTGCTGAACCCTGAGAGACCCTAAAGAGACTTCATTATCAATCTATGCCTTTTTATTGTATTATCTGATAAGCTTCTTTTTATTTTCTTCTGTTTCTGAATGGTTTTGTATTTTAAGTGGCTTTTACACATTCATTGCATCCTTCATTTATCAGCAATGCTAATGTGTAGCTGCTAAATGACAGCCATAAAACAAATCACAGGAAAACATTCATTTCGTTAAGTGGCGGTGCTATGTTCCACAGGATTTCCAACCACAGGATAATAAAAGTATTTATATTGAGAAAAAAGTAGTATAAAGAAGTCTGAGTGGAAATATAAATACGGATAATTTCGATTTTATTTCAGGTGATTGAACAATGTCAATTTAAATGCGAGAACGGATAGTTCACTCAGATTGCATAAATTTTAATATTCATTTACGAAATACCTAAAGTAAAGAAACAAGCATTTATTTGACTTACCAACGGTTGTCAGCAACATGTTATCCAATAGCAAAGCTATTGCTACAATTACTAATACTAAACGGCGAGAGCCACGCCAGCCTATCATCCAATTTTTAAATGCAGCCCATGAGCCGGCAGCGCTCGGATCCTCCTGTCGGTATTGGTCTGGTGGCGGCTGTGGGGATGTTAAATGGGCACCAAACATATGTGACTGATTTGTTTTGCCCGGTGTTGTAGCATTCGTAGTTCCTCCAGCACCATGTATAGCGCCACATTCCGATTCATGAGCGCCATCTGCAGCGACTGCATTTGCATTGTGCTGCTGTGGTTGTGGTAATGTTCGCTGTTGTGGTGCATTGCCTGTGGTGTTGCTAGCTGCATTCGTGTTGCTGAGATGTTGCTTGAAAGGATTTTTACTGGGTGTATCTGTGATGCCAGTGGTTGTTATTGTTGGTGTATTGAATGTTGTGAATGATGTAGTTTTTTCGCTTGGTGCTGAGACTGTTCCTGTTTCTGCTGTGCCAGTTGCTGTATGCTGATTTAAATTTATTGGTCCACCACCAGAATCAGTCGATTGCATTTCGCTTCGCAATTCTTACTATGACAAATAATGAGATTAAATGTTTATAAGTTAATAAGTCTTTTTAAAGGAAGTTGAAAGAAATTATAAAAAGAAAGATTTATATTAAATTACATTTTTATTTCTGATGCGATTATATGTGATTTAAGCTGTATTAGCTTCGGTTTTATTTCAATTTTAATTAGCAACTAATATTCTTTCAAATTGTTGAAAGGGAGTATTTTGTGTTGTAAAACTACGTCACATTTAACTTATTTGATAGGATGATTTACTTGTGGGAATATTAAGCTGATTAGAGTGGAAATAAAATTCGTCTCTTCATTTGAGTTAAAGGGGACCGTTGAATAATAACAACTTAAATACAACTTTAAACAACTTAAGAAACATAGGAGCTATATATGTATGCAATTTAAAAACATAAAATAGAAACAGAACCTAGAAGTTCATGAGCTTACAAGGAACCATTTCAAAAGATTCGAAACCGAATTTTGGCTATTCTCAAAATTGTTAAAACATCTTTAACAATTTAGACTTATTATCTCATAACTCATTCATGTTAAAAGTATAAAATTTTAGTATTTTTCTAAAAAAAACCTAATAGAGAAGAATCGAATAAAAACTAGTAGTGTAGTGGCTTCCAACGAAGTGAATCATTTTAACCAGAGTAGATATTTTGTGCAACAACTCTATTTTAACTAATTACCAAATACTCAACCTTTCAAATGAAGACCAGAATGTCATCAAACGAGAAAGAATGTGACTAAAGATCTCAGCTGTGTCCCAACAGACCTTTATTGATACTCCGGATGGTGGTCCATCAGATAATCGGTCAGCTAATCTAGCTAAGATATGCATCACTAAATAAGTACACCTTTTCGTAGTTGTTAACACAATGGGTCAATAGGCTTATTGAGTAGATCCACTAGGGATCGCCGGTATAACCTATGTATACGTAGTGAATTTGGAACTGACACTAAACATATTCGACTATTCTGATGGGAACTTTACAAAAAATGGTTATTTATTCATAGATAATTACCATAGCATTAAAATTTATTTATTCTTGCAATAATAGAAATAGTGACATACGTTCATACTATTAAAGCAGTTTCTTTAGTTGGATATTCTGTATATATGGTAAGTAAATTTATTTAAATATTTTTTATATATTTTTTATTACAAAAAAAGTAACGTAAAACTAATTTTGATTAAATTCTTCTTGTGAGAGTCTTATGTTTTAATTTATTTTCAATTAAATATTTTTTAATGAGGCATTTGAAATCGGCTTTCTTTTGCGGTTCGTTGCTCTCTCTACAGGAAACAGCTGTGAATGTTTTGAAAATATTAAAACGGTGCGAAATGTATCTCAGATAAACAAATTACAGTGCTTATATTTATTAATTAATGGAGGCAACTGTGGGCCTGGTATCTTTGATGCTTGCTTAGATTTCATTTTTAATTAGTCTCAGTTTTGCGTGTGAATCATGCATTATCCATTTAAAAGCCAATTTGCGTTTTTGGTTTAAAGTACGGGGGTTGCCTTCATTGTTTGTAAATTACAAAACAATGAGAATCACTTACATATCAAGTAAATATGAACGCCTTGTACTTTTAGAGAATAAAATGTAATTTACAAATATTTTCAATGTAAATACGTGACGTGGCGCAAATTTTTTGCATAATTCTTAACAATTAGTAATATATACTATGAATATTTTAGATTATTTTGCATTTAAAACAGAATATAATACAAACGTGAAAAAGATAAGAATTGAAACTATGAATTTTAATAGACTATCTTAAAAACACTTTTTATATCAATATTTCACCCACTAGTGCAATAGTCATATGATTTGAGAGTACATATGGTTTCATATGTAATACAATATATACATAAATGTAAATGTTATTTAAGAGATCATGAGGGTTTTACTACAATTAAGTTTCTCCAACCAATGATGGTGGAAGAAATATCGCTACGTCATCTGGTGTGCAGATTTGTGTTTTAAATTAAAATTTTATAGCAGGATATCTATTGTGAAAATATATATTTATGTATGTCAATGGCATATATTATATATCTATAATATATGCCATTAAAAATAACTCCACAGAGTCCGCAAGAACCTCAACAGATGATATTTATAATAGTTGCAATAAAATTAAAAATATATAAATAATAGTGAAACATAACATAAGTTAAAAGAGATAGAAATTAGTCGTGAATATCTGAATATGGAATAGCTTATATTATGCTATCCCATATTATGCTCTGATATACATAACTTCAAACAGTTAAAACTCGAATCAAAAGTGTTGAGGTTGTTGTAAGGTTTGATTTGCATTCTACTCAAAAAGTACCCGGATTTTGTAAATAAAACACACAAATTTAAATTTTATTCCAAATCCTTCTGAAGTGATACACATATGTCAACGCTTAATCCAATATTCCATTTACTTTTCGTGCAGGTCCGTGCAGATATGGCTTTTAGTTCCTTTGGCGAATTCTCTTTTACCGATTCAATCGACTCAAAACGCTTACTATGAAGGGACAATTTGAGTTTCTGGAACAGGAAAAAGTCGCACGGCGCCAGAGCTGGCGAAAATGGTGCCTGAGCGATGACAGTGGCGCCGTGTTTGGTCAAAAAATCGAGTACAACAAGAATTTTCCATAGTAAAAATCGCTAAATGCACTTGAGGTAGTCTCACATTAACAGCTGCTGTAAACAAACTAATTGACAGATGGCGCTCAAATTTGTACCATATGTCAAAAAACGGTGTACTAACAAAAAAAAAGGTCTATTACTTAAGGAGTAGTTAACAAACAACAAAATCCGGATACTTTTTGAGCAGAAGGTACATGTGAAATGAAAGAACCTTTATTCACTATTATCTCCACATTGAGTGGTCACCATTGTCAGCAGAAATAAAGCTGAATAATTTTAAAATCATGCAGTTAGCATCTTTTAACTGACTTCACCATATATCCGTATGGTATACTCACAATATAACAGTTACTTTTCAATAATTTTATCGTTGTGTAGAACTTTACTACAGATATTTGATTTGTAAAAAGGCTATTGAGTCCATTTAGGAGTTAAGAAGAAGGAGTAGTAAGTTATGTGTATAGTTTAATATGATACCACATTTTGAAACATAAAGTTACTGAGGAATGTTTAGTTTTGTATTTAAATCTATTTTCTCTAAAGAATTAACTAAATGAACAAATCTGTGTTGATTGAGTTGTTGTCAATTAGGTTTTTATTGTTTGTTATAGAGAGCTTTAAATTTTGCGTTTCCAAAAAGATAACCATTATATACTTCTTCAAGTATCTCTCATTTAATTCAATGCAAAAGTCAGTTCATTCATATCATAGGTTTAATGAAATTATGACAGCTTCTTTGATTTAATTGACGAAAGCTAATTCCATTTAAAAATTTTGTTCGTAGTGTTCTTTGGAAGCAAACTTGTTAAAATTTGTTAAAATAACATCTGCAAAGTCCTTTTCTATTCATCTAAATATAATATAAAAATCGGTTTCGATGCAACAACAGTTGGAGAATATAAGAACTGTTCTTTCCACCCTCCCCCCTTAGCAAAAAGTTACCAAAGTGCTCAATTGATAAAAGTCTATGCTTAAGTGAATTATGAAAATTGAATTTTGAGAAAATTGTAAATTGCAAATTGGCTGTTTCAGTTGGAATACGGAGGTGTTGATGGAAGCTGTCTTGAGTGCTCTATTTTTGTAACAGCTTTGTCTTTACTTCCTTAGTAAAACATAGATGCCCGCTACTGTGTGGCAAATGTGTGTAATTTCAAGAATGATTGAATATTCTTATGGGTTTAAATATTTGCGTGACAGGCGGAGGTTCAACTTTTGAGCTGCCTCAGGCCATGAATGACATCAATTGAACAATATTTAAATTGTCATTTGTTTGTAATTAAAACTATTAAGAGTTTTTACTCAGAAACGGAAGCTGTGCATTTTATTTATTTTTTATTTTACTGCTTTTTATTTTGTATTGTTTGATTTATATAGGCACTCCGAATTATGTTATATTGTGAAAATTGTTTAAACGACAACATATAATTTTTTATAATATATGTATATTATAATAATATATCAAAATGGGAAGCGACTTTAGCAATGTCAAAAATATGGCATTCGCGTTAACCAAAATTGCGGAAGCTGTAGTGAGGAAATAAAAAATCAGATGGTTGTACAGCTAATGTGCAGATATCCAACCCTAAGGCTTTCAGCTCTAGCATTCTATGAACCTACTGGGCTGGAAGATTTTATGAGTATTGATATCAAATCCAATCACACTAACCATAATATTAGAGAGTTTAGCTTTATATGATTTAAAATAACACATCTTTACCAGTTGGATTGGAGTAATTCACAGATATCATTATAAAACAAACTTTTTATTTATAAAGCTGTGTACGAACCAAATACACTTATGGGTAGTCCTATAGATGTAATTCAACGTCCCATTTAAAACTGCTGTGCATATAAACAAATACACACATACGCATCGGATTTCTAATCGAAACTGTGTAACAAGGAATTTGCAGTTATAAAGAGACATATTAAACCGTTTCGTAGCGGTCGAAATGCCTTATCCCAGGCACTTTTGGATCCGGTTCATTTTTACTAGATTTATACAATATTTAATATTTGTAAAATTTTCAACAATTTATGACTCATGTTATAACTAACTTAAAAAGATCACGAGTTAATAATACTCTTAAAACAAATATTATATTAAGTATTATGTATGATAAAGGTCGGTAACATTGGCACTATGACAACTATCGACACTGGTGCGTTGCAAAGCGTTATAAGCTGACATGTTCCTGACAGTTGAGTTTTGGAAGTTTATGTAAAGTGACAAAAAGAAAGTGTATACCTGGTGATTGGGTCCATTTATAAAATTCTGCAAACCTTTTATAGTACGGTTTTATTCGAAGATAAAAGATGATCTATGTCCATTCTAGTCACAGAATGAAGACT